GGACCTCTGCCTCTTCGACACTCCTTGGGACACAGGGGATTGGCTCTCTTGAGGCGACGAGGACGAAGTTTGGCCCCCCTGCGTCGCGACCTCCTGACTGACCAGCTGACTCACCCTCGTCCTCGGGACCCCGGCACTCCTGGCAGCACGCAACTGCTTCACCCGCTCGTCGACAGTAGACATGTTCGCTGCAAAAACAAAGAAATAGGTTAGCGACGATCAAAAACCCCGACAACGAGGGAAAACGAAACATCCCTACCTAGATAATCTAGAGCGGCCGCCCCGGTCGCACAGCCGAGCAAAGTCTTAGTATTTATCAAACGCTTTTTAGTGCGTACGTTCCCCTGGGCATCGAGGATGTACCGACCGTCGGGCGTCACCAGCTTCGACGGGGGAAGTGACCGCACAAAGGCAATTATTTTCAGATAAGCGGCCATGTCCTTCTCCTCGAGGGTTCCCGCCCGGACGATATACCTATCCGTCCCTCGACTGAAATGCTCCGAGGTCCACAGCAGATGTATCTTGGGAAGCCACGCTCGGAACCACTGGCCATCTACCGTGCGCTCGCCCTCGTCAAAGAGAGTGTCCGAGCCGTGCTGCGTGATCGGCTTGACGAGGTAGAACCGACCCTTGAAGTCTTTGACAGAATCACTGTACGCTTTAAAAATTTTGGTCGATTGTTTGAAAGAGACCCATCCGTGACGACCTCGCACCGTCTGCCGCTGCAAATGAAAGATGCGAAAGAACAACGGCACCGTCGGCTCCACCGAGAGGTAGAAACACACCACCTCGAAAGCCCGGATGAAAGCCAGAGCGTTCGGGTGCAGCTGAGACGGGGCAAGACGCAGCCAGTCAAAAATCCCCAGATGGAAGGCAGAGAACGGCAACCGGAGCCGAGCTTCTTTAAAATAAAATTCATACATCGGGAACATCTTCCGCCCATAGCGCGAACAGATCCGATGGTGCGCTTTCGGGCGATACACCTGCCAGTGTTGCGTTTCTCCTAGCGGCGTGTCCTCGACCGTGGCATACACGTCGGACGGGTCGACCACAAAACAAGAAGGGATGGTAAGTGGCTCCTCGGCCGCCCACTCCTCGGGCAAGGAGACGCGCCCGTCGTCATACTCCGGGACCTCGGGTTCATCATCTTCAACCATTATCCCCGGCACCAGAGCCGACATCTACACCTGAAAGCAGAGGACCTCGGTGAATTCGATAGCCAGGATCAAATCCACCCTTCCACCGCAAGTCAAGTGAAAGGGCGACAAAGGCCGAGGGGCGGCGAGCAGACATTCGCTCCTCGCCTGCCCTCCTCGGGGATCGAAGAACGACCCCTCAGCCCTTCGGGGCGGCCGTCGGAGAAGATACTTCTCCCCGGGGCAGTCATCAGAAAAAGCCCCCGTCCTCGGGGCATTCATCGAAGAAAAACCCCCGTCCTCGGGGCATTCATCAGAAAAAGCCCCCGTCCTCGGGGCATTCATCGGAGAAAAGCCCCCGTCCTCGGGGCATTCATCAGAAAAAGCTCCTGTCCCCGGGGCATGCATCGGAACTAGCCTACCGTCCCCGGGACATTCATCGGAAAACTCGCCAGACGCGGCGGAACTCGCATCCCTCCTCAGGGCGCTCATCGCGCCCCAACCACACGTCCCAGTTAGACGACGAAAATAAAAGAGAGGGAGAAGAGGAACTCACTTGTAACGGCGGCGGACGGAAGAAAAAGCGAATGGCACGGCGTTGATCGGCGGCGAACGGCGGACGGGCAGAGACGATGAAAGATCAACAGGGAGAAAAGTAGCAGAATGAGCGGGGACCGCCATATTTATAACCCGGCGCGAGGCTCGAAGCGACCCTAGGCTCATTAATGACATAGGTTAGCCGCCCCTACGACCGCTCAACGCAAGACACGTGGAAGCAGCCTGACAGTCGCGTCTCTCCATCTGCCTCCTCCCCGTTCTACCGACGACCGGAGCCCTTCGCACGAGTCCCCCGCTCCAGACATGACGACCTTAAGTCCTCGCTCTTCCCCAGAGCTTCGACTTGGGGGGCTCCTGTTCCGGTGTGGGCCTCACCTCGGCAGGCCCAATACCAAATACGGCCCAACAGGCGAACTGAGCACACCTGGCACACGCCCCTTCGGACGAGCAGGACCGTCCGCCGGGCACAAGCCATCACGCCGCTTCCCCTTCGTCGTCCGTCACACCAGACGAGCGAGACTACCCGGGCTCCCTCCGCGGGAGAATAACGTGCTCGGCGCACGTTCTCCACGTGCTCCCCTCCGCGGGGACACGTCATCGGCCAACCGCCCACCTCCGAAAGAGCAGGTCAAACCCACTTTCCGGAGACCTAGGAGCGGTTGAACTAGGGCGAAGACCACGTCCTGGTCTTCACTACGCCACGTAAGCCCTAGCAGTCATTAGGGTTGGGCCTGGTCGTCTGGCCCACCTCGAATGACCGTTGGCCCAGCGCTGGGGTCTCTCTATAAATACCCTCTTCTTCAAGAGGGTCAGGTAACTCTTCTTGCCCCCCTTTTCTGTACTATTGCTTCCTCTCTGTCCAACTTCTTACTTGGGCGTCGGAGTGCTTTGCAGGTACACCCCCTCCTCATTCTTACCTCGGCGAACAGATAACCGTCCGGCGAAGCGTGGCCAGTCCGTGATCCCTCCTGATCAGGTCAGATCAAATACCATATTAAAAATAGTGGTTTAGGTCAAACTCAACCCTACAAAAGCGACTTGTAGGATGAAGATTGTCACCCCTTATAAATACATATTCAAACCATATATTATTCTATAAGTCATTTTTAACCTACATCCAAAAATCTCTATGAATCTCTTTATTGTTAAGAGAGTGAACCTATAAAAAAAATCAAAAGGTAAGAAAGAAAGAAAGAGAGTGATATTAGAATAGTACAATAATAATGTGAATGGTGAAACTTGCATGAAATTAGGTGTGATGATGAAAATTACAAGCATGAACGTGACAAAGATGTAATCCAACATACTTTTACAATAAAATACTAACAGTGGAGTACACATCAATAGCACACCCTGCTCTCCACGTTCACCAGTTATACTATCTTATCTTGTTTGCTCTACACACATACAAATCTATTCTATACATAATTTCTTGTAACTAAAAAGTCAAGGTTGCTTAAGATAGAGACATATATATATATGCTACAATTTGTTTTTTAACATTTTCTTTAGTGCTCTTTCTTTTTCATGGGACCATTTTCTTTTTCTTAAAAACATGTCTTACATGTAAATGGCCAACACAACACTCTTCATCTTTTAAACACTACATGTGTTTTGTGTATTGCAATTTTGTTCTTTTTCATATAACTTCTAATTTTTTACACTCTTTCTGGTTTTCAACTCACCAATTATTATTATTGGTGGGTTTTCATACAATGTCGTCTAACACCAATTGATTGTTACACTGTTGAATGAAAGTGATGTTTCCATCTCATTTTTTTCCCTCCCATTCTCCTCAAATTCATCATATAATATATAGTTTTACTTAAACTTTTCTTATTCCTTCGCGATCACTTTATTCATAAAAGATTCTGTATAGATTAATCTAACGTAAAAATAGTTAACACCGACAGAATTCAAACCAAAAACCTTAAAGGAGTATAAAACTTCAACAACAGATCAATCACTCAGAATTAATTAATAGTCTGTATTGACTATTAGTCACTAGATATTGTGATTAAACTATGGTTTAGTTTAATTAATTAATTATTTTGTGGTTAACATGAGGAATAAAAGTGGCCTACAATACATGAACACTTTGTACCTTTTTCCCTATAAAGTATAAACACATTTGTTAACTTCTTCACTAAAATCATTGCTTTTCTGTTATTGCATAGCTGTCAGATGTGAAACTTTCATTCTCCTAATTATTAATTTATTATATCATAATAATAATCATCTCTCACCACTATTTTACTTGTGTTGTATTCATTTTTATGTAATAGTGTATGAGTTGGTATATAGCATGATATTTTTTTAGCAGCCTTTTTCTCTTCTTTTTATAATAATATCTTTTTTTATAATTAGTGGAGATTTTATGAGATTATGAAAGATTCATAGCAAAATCTTGATCATGATTACTTTTCAATGGTTATGTAGCAGGCCAACAAGGGTTTCTAATTAACAATAATTTTACTATCAAAATATCAAGAGAGACTTTAGGCTTTAATCCTCAAAGATTCATGAAAATACTCATTGCTCATGTTTCTTCCTAAAAAGTTAAGTGTAAGTTCTTTTTTTTATTAGTTTTTTACAAAGAGTTTCGTTGCGAAATTCACTCACATAAAATATAAAAAAGTAAAAAATTGTAGATTTGAACATGCGTCCTAGTCATTTGTCATGCAGTTATTTATTATCTTATCATCTAAATTGAATTTACTATCTAAAAGAAGTAGAAGATTGTAGATTTGAACTTGCGTCTTTGTCCTATAGCTATTTACCATCTTACCGTCTAAGTTGAACTTCCTATCTAAAAGAAGTAGAAAATTGTAGATTTGAACTCGCGTCCCAGTCATGCAGCTAGTTACCAACTGAGTTGTAATTACGGAACCGCGTGTATCTCTTTACTATCAATATTGATGTTAAGGAATGTAATAGGAATAGGAATGGTTGGAAATAATTGGTAATACTTGTCCCACAAGGGACTATTCATGTGACTTAAAGATTTGGATTAACAAAACAAGCTAGAGTACATTCTTAAATATTGGTGTCACTTTTATGTTTTAAAGGCAAAGCACTTATTTAAAATTCTTGTTCTGCTTATTCAGACAGCAAGGCCCATTATTCTTTTTTATTTCTTTAAGTTTGCTTCTTCTGACAAGGTATGTATAGTATTCAATAAGTTAAGCATCAAGATCATAGACATACATACATCTTTGTCTTTACATTATTGGTTATAAAAGCTAACTGTGGTTACCATCATATTACCTCTTCTTACCTTTGAATTTACAGGTTTCATAGAGAGGTATGAGTGATTTAAACAGCGAAAGATCCAAGACGTGGAGCATATACACGGCTTCGAATCCAGGTCCGTCGCATTCACAGACAGGAGGAGGAGGAGTTGATGAGGAAGGTCCATGGAAAAGCTTTGGAACATCTATGAGTGCAATATCTTTTGGTTTTGTAGCCACAGCTATTTTGATTTCAATGTTTCTAATAATGGCTATATTTGAACATTTGTTTAAACCAACTCAACAGTTTTCTTCCACACCAGAATCTATGTTGCCAACTTATCAGGAACAGCACTCACTACCAACCACAAAACAACGAAATGCGCAATCGGTAAGTCTTTATTATATGTTTCATCATGTTTCAACACATATATTGTATAATGTATGTGTGTGTAATTGTTGCAGGTTTCATCATCTTCTTATGCTTGTGATTTATCAGTGTTGATGCCAGGGGAGCAATATCCTACCTACATTGCTCAACCTGCTCCTCTGCCATGTCCAAGGGAAGGAGCAGCTTATTGGCCTTCTCATCATCATTTTGTATTTAATAATTAGTACTAATTTTTCTAACCTACAAAATATTATTGGTGGATTTATCTGTGAACAATTCAGACATTAAGAGATTATTACATATCTGAAGTCTGTTGTTTTCAAGTTGGCTGTTCTCAAAAGTTATGTCAGTGGTTAAAGGATATGATGGATGGATGCTCTTCAGATTTGTGAAACTTGAACACAATTTTCTTCTCAGATTGTGTTTTCTTTTTTATCTCATGTCTTTATCTCACTTGTAAGTCATGTTTTGTTCGAGAATAGTGTGGAAGTCTGGCTTTGAAATCGAAATCGAAATCACTGAGAGTTGATGCTTGTTTTGAAACTTTAATTGCACCGAGTTAAACATTAAAGTTGCTTCAAAAACAAAAACATGTAAATCAAATAAAAGATATGACATGAATTTTTAACATATTAAATTGATATATATATTAGTGTTTACAACAGAATTTCTCCAGGTGATCTAATGAAAACAATAGGAAACCAGTGGAATTAATTTAACTAGTCAATTTTCCAATTGGGGGAAAATCCTTGCACTTATGCTCATCCCTTCACATCAATTTCATCAAACAAATTCCCCTCACTGAATGAATCTTTTCGTGTCGTATAATGGCTGTAAAAAGAACAGCCGAACTGATTAGGATAACTAAAACCAATTTATCTTGATGACAAATACCCTCCCTTTTCTCCCAACCTCTTCCTCCTGAAAAATGAACACTTAGTTCTGCTGATGAAAGCGAGAAAGACCTAATGAATAACAAAGTCGGCTACTGATGATCCAACATTTCGTCGTCATCATCGTCAGGTAATATCATAGTCAACAAAGAATACTTAACTCGTAAAGAAATTTTTCCCTTCTCAACCAAAAGTCTTGCTCCAGTGACAACCCAATAACCAGGAGTCTCCTGTGGTCCTCTGGTCATCTCAGTTGTGTCGACAAATTTAAGAAGCCTGGGAGCTTGGACGGGAACAGGAGGGCCGCCCGGATACACAGCTGAATTTATATTAACATCTGCTGGACGTGGAGGCGGCTTCTGAAAAGCCCCTGTGAAATGTTGGCTAATAAGAGTGGATATGAGTCCTGACTTGGCTCCTAGCCCAGGCGACCCATCCCACTCGGGATGTTTTACCTCCCTAGCTCCCAACACAGTCGAGAATTTAAGTCTTAAGAAGAGTATATTTTTAAAGCCGTAATTCTCAACTTGCAATTGTGCTCCAGTTACTATTGAAAGATCCTCCTCGGATTCCACAGGAGCAGTGCACACATGAGAGAAATTCTTCCATTGAACCTTCTCATAGAATCTCTTATCGTATGACTTTCGCCGAGGGTTTTCATTTGAATCATCTTCAAGCTGGAAGATTTTTGGAAGAGATGAAAGGTGTTGCATATGGATGGCCAGCCGATTGCTTTTCTTACCTTCAAGATAGAGACGGAGACCAGTCACTGGCCTCTTTCCTACATCAACCTGTTGTAACATCAAAAGTATTTCTGGCTTTAGAACAAATGTTACAAAACATAGAGAACGAAACCAATAAATGACTACAAACATTATAATGTTTAAGATTTAGATTTAAAAATGGTGAACTGATATTAAATACGCTAATAGTTTTAGTTTTATACTGCGTGAACTAGAAAGACGCATCTTTATGTGCAAGACTGGGTTCCATTACATGTTGATAAAAACAAATCTTAAAAGCTTCTTCACACTGATTTAGTAATTTTCCTCCGACACAAACCAAAAGACGTGAGCATGATTTTCTGTCATCAGACGAGGCTTGGCCCCAAAGAATAAACATTTACCGGTATGGTGTTCACATAGAGCCTTGGCCCCATGAAGCTAAATTGTAAAGATGCAGAGTTCCGTTGCTTCCATTGCGGACCAAGAGGAAGTTCATTGAATACAGGTGCCCACTGCCTTGGCAGCTGGAATTCCAAGAATTGGTGGAGCTCTTCAATTGGTGGCTTATCTGCAAGTATCAATGCAGAATGATGAAACATTTCAAACTGGTTCTATAATTTGCATACAATCGGCAACCAACGAAGAAAAACAAATTAAAAAGAGGGTGATCCATGGGAATTTAATTTTATGGGATAAAAAGTTCAGGCTCGAATGTTTATGAATCGCGAATTACTGTTCTGTAATAAGGGTGTCCTTAAGATTCAGTACATAAAACTACAAACCAATGATTCGGCAATTGTCAAATCCATGTGCTGAGTCACCTATACACGCACCTAGAGCAAGCACACATTCTCCAACAAAATGCCATTTGGTTTTGGAAGGTAGATGTTTAATATTTTGTACAACAATAAGTTCATTCAAAGAAAAGCAAATTTAACTCCAAGATGAAACAAAACATCAACAGCCAAATTTATGGGTTCCTGGGCTTTGTTAGTTTTAAGAACTAAGAAGAAGCCTGATAAGGCTCTAATGATTTACTGAAGTGGGTCGATTCCCCTTTTAAGGGAGTTACTAACTTGTAAACAACAACTGAGAGGCATAGTTAGCTAGAAAAACGACAATGCAGATATGCTATATCGGGAAGTTCGGACGGAGAGAATGGATCACAAGCAACAGCTATAAATAAAAATGCCATAATAAGGTTATTTACATGGAATACGTGCAAATAAAAGTAGCAACTTGCTCACATCGTAAATATAGGTTTATGGCATGGCTCAAGAATCCACTCCCCGGAACTCCATTTAATAGAGAGGTAATTGGAATAAAGGACATTGAGATCACATCAGGCTCCAACTGAACGGTCTGTAACCACTCATTATGTGATAGACTTTTGTCATCACTTCCACCTCTTCTCTTGCAAAAACTTACAATATCCTGCAAAAAAACATGAATAATATAAGGTGACCGCTATTGTATAGATAAATATCAAAAGTTTATTCCAGCTTAAATGGTGTAAGCACACCTCCTTATGTGAATAAGAACTTGATGGACTAATATTAGCAAAAGTTAGCCTCTGCGTCCTGGTTCCAAACTGTAAGGAGAAAAAAACTAATAAGGTATTGGATAGCATCTTGTAAGAGTTGACATGAATTAACATAGCAAAGAAAAGATTATCATTTGAGATTAATTAATTTGACACAATGATTCAGAAACCTTGCAAATCAAAATAATTTATTTGAGCTATGAAACTAGCATACATTTATACTCACACACTCCTCATTCTCTCGTGCAAGTCGTTGGATAACATCATGGACCCGCTGTAACATTTCTTAAATGGCTCATCTACAAATTGTACCCATACCGCACATAGTTTGTGCAGAGTTGTCTTACTTTTTGTTTTCCCATTGTTTAACAATAATAATGTATACAGGTCCAAAAAAAAGGTGAAAGAAAGAAGAATAACAATGAACTTCAATATTATGATTTTAAACATCTCGTGAAAAGGAAAAGCATAATTTCACAAACCTTGTTATTTGGAAAAACTTGATCAGAAGCTACACTATATTGGCCATTAGTATCCAGAAACCTTTTATCTGCCATTTCTTTCAACCTTTTCTGAACATCAGATGGTTGGAGAGTTGATGAGTGCTGCTGCTTCAAATATATTACATCTTTTCCTCCCATCTTCATACCAACAATAATATGGGTGCCAAAGGTATCGATAAACCTAGGTTAATTGTGAAAAGTAACAGTTAGTGAGAGTCCCAAGTCCAAATAGGATTAAAAAATAAATGGGAGCTGGGTAGGGTTAATCAATTAATCCTGATTGAATTAGATAACCTCTAGGACAATCAATTAAAGTAGCACTCTTTAGTGTGGAGTATGACTCATTGGCAGTGTTAAGAGGGACGGGGAGCGAGGGAGCCGAGCCAGTGTAGAGGGCATTGTTGTAATTCGGACGGTAATATTATACATATGGCTTGTAACATTGTAAACCTAATTCATTCAAGTAATAATACAAAATTATAGCTGCTCTGTAGTTAAAGACGTAGGCCCATTAGGCCGAACTATGTAAACAAAAATTGTGTTTATTGGTATTGAGAAAATCTCAAGTCCTACATTTAGTACATTGGTTAGAGATGGAGCTTGGAAAGACTTGACTTTATAGAGTGGCACCCCTCACCTTACAAGCCAATTTGTACGGATGAGTTAGAGGTAACCCACATACTATAATATGGTATCCAAGCCTATAGATCGGACCATGGGTCGCCCGCCGTTAATATTCGTGCACTAAGCACAATAGTGTTGGGCATGAGGGGTGTATTGGAAAAATCCCAAAGTTCCACATTGGTAAGAGATAGAACTTGGAAAGGGTTTATACATAGTGACACTCCTCAACTTACAAGTCGGTTTTGTAGGAAGTCGGTTTTATAGGGATGAGTTAGGCCGAATTCTAATAGTGGCAGCCCTAAGCTTTACAAGCCAGTTTTGAAAGGATGAGTTAGGCTGAATCTTAATTTTCAAGTCCAACATTGGTTAGATATAGACTTTGGAAAGACTTTATATAGAGTGGTATTCCTCACTTTACAAGTCGGTTTTGTAGGGATGAGATAGACCTAACCCCCAAACTCTAATAATTGGCTTGTGATTTTACAAAGATTTGAAACTGTAAAGTATAAACTAAATTAAGATTGAATCAAAGATTACAGACCCAAATCAGACCTAATTTAACTAGAACCATTTGTCAAGGTCATATTCTAAATTTAAATTCAAAAAATCAACTGAAACCAAAGAACAAATATGGCAACATAAGTTTTATTAAATGAAAATTGGACTGAAGTTGGAACACGCCAACAATGCCCTGCCTAATCATTATCATAAGCCCGTCTCAGATATTTAGTGAAAAGAAGGTCGATAAGTAAGGTAAAGCAGAAGTAAAGTTATGTTGGCTAAACAAAATTGAATCTCGCCGAAGAAATAACCAGATAGATGCTGCCGTGACATAAATGTGGCATTACACTCATAACATATAAGGATGAAAAATACAAATATAAATTTATAAATCCAGGGGCATAAAGCCGCAGTTGATATACTGGAGAAAAAAGACTACTCAATACACTGAATCTGTGTGTAAAGCAAGCCAAATGTAAATAGAATCTCAAATTGTTAACAAAAATAAGTATCATAAAAAATAATCACCACCATTAATCATAAATCAATATTCCATTCTGCTTCTTAAAACTATTCGGAAATATCAGTCAACAGTCGTTATAAATTTAACAGATTCATTATTCCAAAATGAATTGTGGATTGTCTAAATGTGACCTACCAAGGAAGAACTACCAACAAAAATCAACCCCAATTCATTTCAGTTCCATCCTACCAGTTAAGCCAACCCTTGTTGGCTATACACCAGACTCATAATTCCAAAAACTAACCAATATTTGAGAACAAATATTCGGAGGGTAATAATATTTCACTTGACATGGAAATCAAAGATAGCTTCACTTTCACCATTTACCAAGATTAGATTAACAAAGCTCAACTCACCTTGCTAATGCAGGTGGGTCCCATGATGATGGTACAGCTTTTTTAACATGATCGCAAAGCACCATTTGAGACTTCTCTAATGCAACAGTGTAAAGTGTAATTAACACCCCATCAAAAGCAAGGGTCTTGGTATGTGCTGCATCTTTCTGCCAACTCCCAGAAAATTCAAACATTGAATTGAAAAGCCCTGAAGGAATTTTGCCGGTCAAAGACAACTCCTGATTGAACTGCTCTGTCATCTGAAGAAGAAGCGAACAACCGGTAAAAGGGAGAATTATTACAGAACGTATGAGTGTAAACGACTCCGTCTAAAAATTTCTACTCAACAGCTAAAAATTTCATTCAGGTTGCAACAAAATTTACGGCTCCATCTAAAAATGGAAACTTTACCTGTTGAAATGACAGAACATCAGACCTGAACCTAGTCCGTTCCCCTTTATCACATTTAATTAATTTCGAAACATTCGGTAACGAAACTCCACCAGGTAAAACAACCTCTCTTACATCATGTTCATCAATCTCAATCAATCGCGAATGAATAGAATCCCCTTTACAAAACTTGAGCCTTATATCCGAAGATATATCATATCCACGCCCAATCGACCCAATCGCAATCTCAGCAGCTTTACAAGCCTGATCTTCTTTAGGTGCCATAATAACTCAGCATAACACTCTCACTGAAATCAAAAACAAATTCCAAAACTCAGCACATAAACCCATAAACAAATCATCAATTTCACTACCTAAAAAACACATATCATTCATATAAACTTGAACTATTAATAGGTAAAAAAAATCTTAATGCACAACAGAAAAATCAAAATGAATAAAAACAATAATAAATTAATAATACAAATAAAGAGAACTTGGCTACTAAAGATAGAAATTTGATACCCCACTTTAACAACACATGCAAAGACAAAAGCATTTTTAGTCAAAACTTGTAATTAAGCAAAAATTGCAGAATTTGAACAAAAAACATACACAGTGCATGAGAGCGAAGCTGAGATAATCACTGTTTGAGGATCAAGTGGTTTGTTTGCATCTAAAATTCGCAAACCCTAATGGAAAAATTAGATTTTTAAGGGGAAAAATTGAATTAGATGGAGAGAGAAAATTCTGAAGTCTGTGAAGAGAGACTAATAAATAAGACTGCAAAGAAAGAAGCAAACAGAAGATTTTTTATTATTTTTTTTTAAACATAAAATTTTCAGATTTTTTTTAATGAATTGGGAAATGTTAATTTTGAATTTTGATATTCTCTTAGTTTATAAATATGTTAGTATATTTTTAATTTTGAAATTGTTTGGAAATAAATAAAGTAGTGAAGATGATAAGATAAAGATGAGAAAGGTTGAGTTGACTTTTCCAAATTGATGAGTAATAATGAAGAACACTAGTACCAAGCACCAACATAATTATATATTTTTAGATTGGTAGAAACACAAAAGTTTAATGATGAAGTAGAAAATAGAAAATGAGAATTTCATTATATGTGGTTAGTTAATTTGAAAAAAAATATAAAAATAAAATAAAATAAAATAGATTTTACTTTAATGAATTCATTCTTAAATAGGACCTACCATTTATTTAAAAAAGAAATAAAAGAGAAAAAAGATACAAAGTATAAAAAGAGTAAGTATATTTTGAATGTGCCGCCCATTGTTTATAGTCAATGGTTTTTTAAATTTAAAAAGAAAAATTAAGATGTTGTGTAATTAATTAACTAGTAGCTGTAAAAATGTGATAGGCATTATAGTCTTTAAAACTCAATGGGTTCAATAAAAAATTATTAATTAAATTAAATTAAATTAAAATTATAAAAATTGCATTTGATTTTAATGCGTTTAAATTATATTTTAACAAAATGGTGTGGTTTGGTTCGACTTACGGTTTGTAATTTGCATCTGTACCAAACCAAACTAAATTGCATCATGTTAATATATTATCAATATGTTTGATATACTTTTAGAAATGATTGAAATCTCACAATTAAACGAGAGAGATTTTTATATTTAATTTGATTAATAATGTGCTTGAAAAATGAAATAATATGTTTTTAAATCTTTTCATTTGTGTTTTAAGTATTAATTTTTTTATAACGATATGTAAGGTGCTTCAATGGATGATACTTAGATATTACGATTTCAATGAAAGAGTTTGGTGTTGTTGTGACTGAAATTTCTAGTAGTATGATGTGCTTTCTTGATGTCTTAGGAGAAAGTGTTCTATTTTTAAGGTTTAATATATTGTTGAAGTGTTTTTTAGTTGTCTCGTGTGATGGATAGCCTAGTTTTAATCTAAGTGATGTATACTTTGTAATACACGTTGTTATTATGTTATTTGAGTTCTTTTGTTATTTGGTGTTGAAATAGTATTGTAACTTGTACTCATTGACGTTGTTATGTGTTATTTGGTAATGTATGAATGACTAAACATGGAGTTATGTTGTCATCTATACGGGTATGCATGTCTCAATAAAAAACTTGTAAAAAAATCGAACCAACCGAACAAATTCAAATTGCATTGGTTTAGTTTAGTTCGGTCTAGTTTTATTTCTAAAAGACAAATGAACCAAACCAAACTGCATATTTGTTCTCTTTCTCAACATCATTATCACATTACCAAGCAATGCACATATATATATATATATACATATATTCTCATGCATTCTTAACACATTATCACATAAAATCAATATGCACTCACAAGGTCGTGCCAACTGCAACGAACTCAATCCCATTCATCATGCATTCATGTTTAATTCAAACAATGCATTCAATTGCCAAAAGGCCATACTTCACAATCTAGGATTCACGCCATAAGGCTACCCACAACACGTCTTATCTCAATAATACACAAACTATTCATGTTATATAAGGATTAACATAATTGAACCTAACAATTAACTATTGGATGGAAAATACAAGAAAATAACATGCTGACACGCTCGCTACCTTGCTCGCCTAGCGAGCTCCTAGCGAGTGCTCGCTACCTGTTCGCCTAGCGAACATGCTCGCGAAGGCAAACAGAAGCCACTGACTTGATTCGCTACCTCAGTCGCTCAGCGAAGGCCTAGCGAACACTCGCTACCCCCTTCGCTACCAGCGAGGAACACCAAAACCATTCTGCCCAAGTCTGGGACCTTTCGTCACTGGCTCGCCACAGCGAATGCCCAGCGAATGCTCGCGACCTGCTCGCCTAAAGAACAAGCTAGCGAGGGTCTGCGAACTCAGAAATCCCCACTGTCCAACATTCTAAAACTCATCCAAATTCAACCGATTCAATTCCAACTCATTCTAGTAGCCTTAGCCCAACATTCCTCGACTAAACTCTACCACTTATCCTCATTTTTAACAGTTAAAACTCGGTTTCTATCGATTAAACTCATTTATGCCCTAGAATGGAAGATGAGGAAAAACAACCAAACAATTTATACATAATCACATACATTGGTAAGATAACAATATTTCACACTCTTACCTCGGTTAATCGAAAGCTAGAAGTCGTTCTTGAGCTTTCCAAGCTTTCCCTTCTTTTTCCTTCTACTTTCTCTTCTTCCTCTTTCTTTCTCTTATGTTTTCTATCCTTTCCTTTTACTTCCACTTTTCCTTATATATCTTTCCATTCTATTCCTCTCCAATATATTTCTTCTCTCAAAATATTTACCAATTGATTTTCTCATAAAATATCCCATCTCATCCTTAATTAGAGAACATCTAGTAAGTCCACATTATTCTACCAAATAGAATAAATCAGTTAAATCCAATAATTCACTTAAATCATACAAACCAATTAACTAGTATCATTAATCAGTTATTGAAAATTGGGTTGTTACAACTCTCCCCCACTTTAGGAATTTCCATCCTCGAAAATGTTATCCGACTCGAATAACTCTGATTACGACTCTCGCATCCCAATCTCCCAACTACTTCTGCCAAAGGAATCCCTTTTACCTCGAAGTTGTTTCTCGTTCACCCACCTGAACTTAGCAATGTCTCCACAATCGGATTGTCTCACACTCGTACATCATCCTTCTGAATCAGTGTACCTCTCCAACTTAGACACATGAACCCATCATGCAATTTCCACAAGTGACGGCGGTAAAATAGTCTAACATGCTATTTTCTCCACGCTTCCGATGCGCCACTCTGATACAGATCAACAAAGTACAGTGGGTACTTCCGAGACCTCAAGCTCGACCCACACCAGTTACTATCGTAACTCTCAAAACACGTCCTTTCTTGGGTCATTCCGGTTGCCTCTTGCACAATCTCAGGTCCGAGTACAACAGTCTCGCCGGACATACATCAACTCAAAAGAGTCCTACACTCCTCACCAAACAAAGCCTCATACGATGTCATGCCGATACTAGAATGATAGCGACTATCGTAGGTAAACTCAATCAACGACGATTAACTATCCCACGATCCACCTTGGTCCAACACACAAGCTTTCCAACAGATTCTCCACATACTGGATAATCCTCTTTGTTTGTCCATTCCTCCACGGACGCTAGTCGGAGTTCAACTACCACATGGCACCCAGAAGTGCCTACAAACCTTTCCAAAATCTCAATGAAAAACTCAGATTCCCATCTAACAGAACGATTCATCCTTACTGGTAAGTAACGAGTTACTCTTGTTAATCCATTCTTAACCATCCAAATCGAATCATATCCCATCAAATTCTTTGTAAAACCCATCACAAGATCCATGGGGATACTATCCCATGCCACTCATAAATATTTAACAGTTGTATCAGGTCCAACAGTTTATGATGTTCACACGTCGACTTTCAACAAGTCTAATCAACATATACAACTTCAACCACTTCTTTCTCCATCTATGGTCACCAAGACGATTTCTCCAATTCGATCATATTCTCATGGTACCAGGATGGATACTCAATTTATCTCCACGTCCTGCTCTCAGAGTACTTGTATCCAACTCCCACTATTGGAAACACAAACTATATCACGACAACTCATGGTACCATTTTCATCAATTCAAAGATCAGCTCTTCGACTTTTATCCATTAAATTCAATCATTCTATTAACTCAAATAAATTCTGACTCCCTCGGATCTCATCGGGAACACCAATAATCAGTCTCAACATATATAGCTCAACTCCATAAGAAGTTTCTTCACATACCAAACTCATATCCCGAATTTGTTTCCTCAGTTCTAGCTCAATACCATCATCATCAGTATATACAGAAATTTCCCATTTGATACCTCAGCTACCACATCGTCTCACCCGAATGGTAATCCAACCCAAACCTCATTCCTTCAGAAGTCTCGATTATTTCCTCTGCCTCATATTCAACTTTTCCAAATCGAACAAACTCCTTAAGCTCTTAAGGTCCGTAATCGTTTCAAATCTCAACTAAACAATTGAGGCCTCCAAACTCCGGCACAGACACACAGCAACCAATTCCAAATTACTTGTCAGATAATTCCCTTATGTACCTTGAGTTGCCTTAAGCATAACTAAAACTCGATGATGTTGTACTTAACATATATCTCAATCATATCAACTAAACATCACGAAACACAACAAATAGTTCTGTCGGATTTGGCCAAACCAATACACGAGTTGTTGACAACTCCCCCAAAAACTCTTTAAATTTCTTCCCAATGGCATATCACTA